ACTAACCCTCAATGCCAGTTAGAACTTGGGTGCTACATTACATTTATTTTTATTTCTGGAAGAAAATCATTGTGAAATTGCTGCAGTTTGTGTTCTTTTGCAAACTAATCATTAAGTGAAATGGAACTTTGTGTTTTTTAAGGAAACATCAGTAACAGTAATGTATGCCTCATAAGGGTTAATAAAAAAACCCTAGTATTTCCTGAGTAACTGGAAAATAATTTGCAAGATTAAAAAACACGAGTGAAGTCTGTGGGTGTCAGTCTTTTTTTCTGGAACATTTCTTAAAGAATCTCTGAATCAAGCATAGTTCTTTGGGGAAAAAAAATGGCATTTTTTTGTTAGATATGCTGCCACCTGGGAGAGAGGAAAGAATTTATCTGCCTAAATTTCTTTTTTTATTCTCTGGATGTTTTTATTTGTCTTAAAATGGCTGTTATGAGCTATAAGTGTCAAATCCCAAAAAATCAAGAGCCAACTTTAAACAAATTCCATTGGTCAGAAATGAAACAATTTGATGATCAAATAAGGGAATTAACTGCAATGAATGTTCATCAAATACAATATAATCCATGAACTCAAAATGTCTTTGATAAAAAGATAAATTGTTTTATCACTAAGGAGTTCTAGGGAACCAGCTCATTATTATGGACACTAAAGAGAAATAATCAAACATTCATTCTGTCTTTCCTATACAATCTGTACTATTGGGTAACCAAATAACAATAATGGGGAATTCATATTTATAGAAGTATCTTGCTAATTAGTGAAGAAGAGAAGATGGCATTGGAACATCAACCTCATGAAACCATTGATATTTAGTGTATCTTAGCATTCATTGAACATGAGTGGCTGCAAATATCACAAAAAGACAAAAGCAAGACAACCACACAGTATGTGCCGCCTGACTAAAAACTGCTATCTTTTTTTTTAATAATAAATTTTATTTTTATATTCCCCATACAATTGCAACCCCCCCCCATTCTGACCCCAATCCCTCCCCTCCCGCCCCCCACCCCCCAAAAGTGTCTCTGGTTCATAGTTTTTTGTTGATTTTGATTTTCACTTTCTTATAGTTATTCATTTTCCTGGTTCCTTATTTAAGTTTTCTAGATTCCTGCTATGAGTGAGACCATCCAGTATTTTTCTTTTTCTTTTTGGCTTATTTCACTGAGCATGATCCCTTCCAGTGCCATCCATGTTGCTGCAAATTGCATGTGTTTATCTTTTTTGAATGCTGAGTAATATTCCATGGTATATATGTACCACATCTTCTTGATCCAGTCATCTATTTTTGGGCATTTGGGCTGTTTCCAAAGCTTAGCTATTGTAAACAGTGCTGCTATAAACATAGGTGTGCAGGTGCTCTTTGGAATTGATGTTTCTGTGTCCTTTGGGTAAATACCTAGGAGTGGAATTGCTGGATCATATGGAAGCTCTATGTTTAGTAGGTCAAGAAATCTCCACACAGCTCTCCATAGTGGTTGGACCAGTTTGCACTCCCACCAACAGTGCAGGAGAGTTCCTTTTTCTCCACAACCTCGCCAACATTTGTTGTTGCTAGTTTTTTTAATATGTGCCATTCTCACTGGTGTGAGATGGTATCTCATGGTAGTTTTGATTTGCATTTCCCTGATTACAAGTGATGTTGAACATTTTTTCATATGCCTGTTGGCCATTTGCATTTCCTCTGCAGAGAAGTTTCTTTTTAGCTCTTCTGCCCATTTTTTGACTGGGTTATTTTCTTTGTTGTTGTTGAGTCTCATCAGCTCTTTGCAGATTTTTGTGATCAGTCCTTTATCATTAGTGTTGGGTGCAAAAATGTTCTCCCAGTCAGTGGGGTTTCTCTTTGTTTTTGTTATTGTCTCTTTTGCTGTGCAGAAGCTCTTTAATTTGATGTAGTCCCAGCTGTTTATCTTTGCCTTCACTATCACTGCTTTGGGTGATGTATCTGTAAAGATGTCTTTGATGTGCAAATCACGTAGTGTTTCGCCTATATTTCCTTCTATATATTTTATGGTTTCAGGTCTTATGTCTAGTTCTTTAATCCATTTTGAGTTGATTTTTGTGTATGGTGTGAGGTAGTGGTCAAGCTTCATTCTTTTGCATGTAGCAACCCAGTTTTCCCAGCACCATTTATTGAACAAACTTTCTTTGCTCCAATGCATAGTCTTTGTTCCTTTGTCAAAGATTAGTTGACCATAAATCTGTGGGTTTATTTCTTGATTTTGTATTCGATTCCATTGGTCTGTATGTCTGTTCTTGTTCCAATACCATGCAGTTAAAAACTACTATCTTTGAAGTACTCTTGTCAATGGATAAAACTTCAATCTGATCAAACCTTTAGATACATTTACTAATTTATAGGAAATACAGAGTTCAGGAAATCATGTTGAAAGTCACCAACATGAATGCAGTTAGCAAAAATTCAGACTTGGATCTCTATAAGGTACATTGCTGTGTTTCTCCAACAAATAAATTAAGAGAGGGAAATGAAGGGGAACCTATGGATTGAAAGAAAGCTAAATAATTTATAAACCAATCATAATATATGGTTCTTGTTTGCATGGTTCTATAAACAAACCATAATAATTATGTTTCAATTAGAAAATTGAACACTGACTAGATATTTGATATTAAGGTATTGTTAGCTTTTTAGATGTGAAATTGATAATGTGTTTTTAGAGATTATATTCTTATTCTTTTGATTATTGGGTAATAAAGATTTTATTATTCTTATTTAATATTGAAATTATCCTTTTAGAGATACTGAAATGTTTATAGATGGAACAATATGATATTTGGGATTTGGCTTTACCATAATGGAGGGCAGAAAATTAGGTGAGAATATAGAAGAAACAAGTTAGTTGTGAGTTGAAAATTGTTGGGTGATTAGTTCATGGGTTAGTCGTATTCTTCTCTCTATTTTTGTGTTTGACTTACATGTCTGTTATAAAATTTTTCTTATGGCTATCTTGGCAAAAAGTTGAGTGTTCAACTAGTTCTTTTAGTGGTAGATAGAGGAGGTGGCAAATGACTATAAATCAGTCATTGTTAAATTCATGTATGTGAATCTATACTTTTTTTTTTTTAAAGATTTTTTACTTATTTATACAAGCACTGGGTACAGTCAGAAGCGCAGGAGGCTGAGAGAATTCACCAGAGCCAGAACAGAGAGCAGAGCAGGCAGACTGATGAAATACACTGCTGTGGGGAGCAGCAGGCGGCAGGAGAGGTCTGCGCGCCATGTGGGACCCTCCTCAGGTGGCTGGGTATCAGCCGGGGATCGTACCGGCTCTGCAGAAGCTGCGGGCAGCTTCACAACCCAGCGCTCAACCGCTGTGCCACCGAGGAGGCCCAAATCTATACTTTTTAAAAACACATTTAATGTATAATTTGTATTATAACTTTAGATTATGACATATATATAATATTTAATCTATTATATATAATATTTTATTCTGAAGTTATCTCAGTGATATAAATAATCAGTTAAAATGAGTTGCTTAATATAGTATGTGTTGCCATTTCATCATAAATAAAGGCAATTATAATTGTGGAAATATGGATCTCATTAATATGTTCTTTCTTTCAAAAGCCATTTCCTAAGAGTCCACTATGTGCCAGCAGCAAGCTAGACTCTAAAGATAAAAAAATGTCTTCTAAGTCTTAATTTTATCCTGGAGATGCTCATATTCTAGTGCAGGAGACAGACAAGTGAAATCCATGGAAGAGTGGAATAACAGCTATGGAAGACATAGCTCTTCATACCAAGGGAGTGCATGGTGAGAAGGGAGGTCCCTGCTAGAAGACTGATTCCTTGCTCAGTAAGGGAGGATGAGAGATAGTGGGAGGGCTGATGACAAAGAATGCGTTAGGAGGATACTTACCTGGCTCAGCATACCTGGGTTGAGGTACAATTTGTGCTAGATATTTAGAGGACATGGAGGAAGCAAAAGACACACTGCTTTCCATAACAGCATATCCCTCAGAGTCCCTGTACTACTCTTTTTTTTTACATGTGCAAATGTAATTTTATTTTATTTTTTTGTTAATCATAAACAAAATTTATTTATTTATTTTTAGTTTGTATGTTTTTACATCATTTTTCATTTTTGCACAGCGTATGCATTTTCATCTTGGTTATAGTCCCCATACAATTCCCATCCCCCTTGTTTTGATCCTGTTCCCTCCCCTCCCCCCATAGCGTGTCTCTGGTTTATAATTGCTTGTTGATTTTGATTTTTACTTTATTATAATTAGTCTTTTTCCTGGTCCCTTATTTAGGTTTTATAAATTCCTGCTATAAGTGAGACCATCCTTAGTTTTTCTTTTTCTTTCTTGCTGACTGGATCAAGAAGATGTGGTACATATACACAGTGAAATATTACTCAGCAATCAAAAAAAAAGATAAACTCATGAAATTTGCAGCAACATGGATGGAGCTGGAAGGGATCATGCTCAGTGCAATAACCCTGTATTACTCTTGACCTGACATCTGATGGGAAGCAAAGCCTCTCAGGAGCTGGTTCTCATATTCCATCTGCATACTCCCTTCTTGCCAAACTTTCTCCTCTGCAGTCTTTTCTTTCTAACCGTCTGGTCTGTCTTCTACTCCAAGCTTCATTTTCTTCCATATCTAAGTCATAGAGAGCAAAGGCTCTTACTCTTTTTGCTAAATTTGTTTCCAGCTGGTCACTCCTGCATTGGTGCTCACCAATGACCTCATGTCTTTTTTTCTAGTTGCCTTTGTCAACTAGAAAAGGATGTCAGCAATTAAACAATCTGAACTTTTTTTTTAACTTGAAGAATCATCTCAAAGTGGTAGCAGATATTATATGATCAGTTATCTCTATTGCTTTGGTTTAAATTACCCCTTTAAAGAAAAAAAAAAAAACTTAAGTAGTCCAATGAGGGTAATTCCTTGTCATTTACTCATAGCTTTTTCTTCTTAAAGCAAAACATTAGCATTCTTACCAGTTCACTTATTTATACTACAGGAAACCAACAGTTATGCAAAGTGACTGCCAACATAATCAGGAGCTGCTATGTGGAGTTTTAAGTACCTCATGGAAAAATAACTCTGAATTGGAATTCTTCCCAAAAGCCAGCTTCGTTAATGCTTTGACAAGTGAGGTAGGCAAAAAAAAAAAAAAAAAAAAAAAAAAAAAAGAGAAATCTATAAAGCAGTTATAAATATGAATGTCTACTAAACCTTCAGCAGGATGATTAGTGTAAAAAATGTGAAGTATTAGCACAACTGCTCTTGCAATAGAACCATGTCTTTAATTTTGCTAGAATTAATTATAGGTTTAAAATGCTTTATAGTTTAATGAACAAATAGAATGTAGCCCCGAGTATGTTTTATTAACCTGGCTGTGCCTTATATTTCAAAACAGTCTTTGAAAATGTGGGAGACAAATGTGAGTGTGTACAGGTATGTGGCTGTATGTGTGTGTCTGTGAAACTATGTTTTTGTCTTCACACAAAAGCACTGTGGAGTAGATGGACTTGTGGCACACAAGAATTCAACAACCATTCTTTTTTTAATTTTTTTAAATTTTTATTTATTTTTTTAAATTTTTATACAAGAACCGGGGTACAGGCCAGATATGCAAGAGGGTAAGAGGATTCACCCGAGACAGAGTGACCAACCGAAATACATTGCTGAAGGGAGCAGCAGGGATGCAGGAGAGGTCTGCCCCACTATGTCAACAACCATTCTTAAAACCAGACAATTTAATCATGTGGCAATTAGGTCTTGGATGGGCACTTTCTGAACCCACATATTTAAAAGAAGTTTGTCTTTTTTTTAAACCAGGTTTTGCTACGGGCACTTCCTAAATACATATTCTTTCCTTATAAGTAAAGGGCAGGAGCTATGAACCAAGAATAAGAGTTTTGGAAATGAGAGGTGTCTGTAAGGTTACTGGTGAGTGAAGTAGACACTATCTTCCTGAAAAAAACTGGCCCCTTATTCTGAATGCTAATGGACACAGGTTTTATTTCTGGAACTCAAATGCCTGTAGTACTTTAAAGGGTGAAGCATTGTATTCTCACATTTTTGGATCTTCTTAAAGTTTTCATCAGTAGTTACTTGACCGCAATCTCATTTATTTAACATACCATTGTTCTGGTCTCCTGGCTGCTTCATATGTGACCAACTTGCAGTCTTTATTCTAAATTACCAAGAGGGTGACTTCAAAGGGTAATGATGACCACACTAGCCAGTGTTGATTCAGAGTAAAAATGCACAAGATATTGCACAAAATACATAACTTGGCCATATTTGATATTCACCGTAAGTCTATAGGGGAGAACCAGTAATGACTGTTTCCCTTAATGTCGATGATGAAACAGCAGGTTGGTATTGCCATATCGATACCCACTGCCAAAGACATGTATATGGCTATGCGGGACTTGTGGTGCATACAGCTGATTCTGGTTGTTTAATTTTTTTAATTAATTTTTTTTACATATTTTTTACATCGTTTTTCATTTTTTTGCACAATGTATGTATTTTCATCTTGGTTATAGTCCCCGTAGAATTCCCACCATCGTTGTTTTGAGTCTACTCCCTTCTCCCCACCCCCCACCATAGTGTGTCTCTGGTTTACAGTTGTTTGTTGATTTTGATTTTTTCTTTATTATAATTAGTCTTTTTCCTGGTCCCTTATTTAGGTTTTCTAAATTCCTGCTATGAGTGAGACCATCCGGTATTTTTTTTTTTCTTTCTGGCTTATTTCACTGAGCACGATTCCTCCCAGATCCATCCATGTTGCTGCAAATGGCATGAGTTTATCTTTTTTGAGTGCTGAGTAATATTCCATGGTGTATATATACCACATCTTCTTGATCCAGTCATTCATTTTTGGGCATTTGGGTTGTTTCCATAGCTTAGCTATTGTAAATAGTGCTGCTATAAACATAGGGGTGCAGGTGCCCTTTTGAATTAATGTTTCTGTGTCCTTTGGGTAAATATCTAGGAGTGGAATTGCTGGATCATATGGAAGCTCCATCTTTAGCAGATTGAGGAATCGCCACAAAGAGCTCCATAATGTTTGGACCACTTTGCATTCCTACCAGCAGTGCAGGAGAGTTCCTTTTTCTCCACATCCTCGCCAACATTTGTTGTTGATTCCAGAGCTTGAAACTTGACCAGTGTGCTCTTATGTCACAAGCCTCCTGGACCTAGAGAATTTCAGTCATTTCACTCAGCTTCACTTTTGCCAGGAGATGAGTGATATTTCTCCAGGTTACTGGATGTATGTGAACTTTCCAGGCTGTCCATGAATAAAATTTATACTGTTTTTAAAATAAAATACAATATTTATAACCCTTTGAAGATGTGCTACAATATTTTATCACCATTTGAAATTTTTATTATGAAAGTGAGAATACTTATTATAAAAATTTAAACATTATAAAATTGTTATAACTAAACATCTTCTTTCTTTTTTTTTAAACTCTCTTGCATATTCTTCCTCACCTAAACCTCATTCCACTTGTCAGATGTAAACAAGGTTAAGCATTTGGGCTCTCACTCTTTATTCCTAGACCCTATCCCTGCAGCTGTCTCTATCTGCATCCTGAGCTCAACCTCTATCTGTATTCTGCTTGCCTACTGTTCCCCCAACAAACACACTCATTGCAGTGTTAAGTGGTCAGATTCTGTGGCTAGTTTCCCTAATTCATATCCTAATTTGCTATTCATTAATAAGTGATTTTGGGCTACTATTCCTTCCATGCTTCAGTCTCCTTATCTATAATATAGACATAATATTAGCTACATCACAGGCTTAGATGAAGATGATGTCAGGTATATAAAGAAGTTAGAATGGAGACTGGCACAAGGTAAACTGTCAATAAGTGTATATGTATATATATGTGTATATATATCTGTGTATACATGTTTAATACATAAGTTGATTGGTTGATAATACATAAATTATTTTGTGCCCTGTACTGTTGACTTAATATGTTATTTTAGGGACCTCCCTGGTGGCTGAGACTTAGCACTATCACCATCACGGCCTGAGTTCAATCCCCAGCCAGGGAGGTGACCCACATGGTGTAGCAGACCTCTCCTGTCTTGCCCGCTGCTCCCCTCAGCAATGTATTTCAGTAGATCTGCTCCCCATTCTGTCTCTGGTGAATCCTCTCACCCCCTGCACCTCTGGCATACACCATAGTTCTTGTATGCATAAATAAATAAAAATAAATCTTTTTTAAAAAAGAATATGTTATTTTAGTAATGTAAAACTGCCTTAGAACCAATTACACAGTATCCTGTTGGATACATGCAACCTGTTAGTAGACTTACGTATGTCTATTTTTCATTCTTATAAACTGCTGAAATAAATTTCTGTGTACATAAATCTTGATGTATTTATCTGAATACTGCTGAATGATATATTTCTAGAAATGAAATTGCTGAAAGTCCCTTTAAAGATTTGGTTGAAATGGCCAAAGTGCCTTTCCCAATGACCATAGCAATGCACAATTCAGAATGTTAAGACTGTATGTGCCTGTTTCCCTACAACTCTGCCAGTGCTAATTATGAGAGTGCTTTTAAAACTTTACAGACTAGTAGGCAAAAAATATCTTTCTGTTGTTTGAATTGCATTCCTTTGATTAGTAATAAGGTTAAACTTTATTAATGAATAAAGTGGGCATGGGTAGTCTTGTAAATAGTATTTTTCTTATTTTTTTGGTATACGTCTTTTGTTGGGGTGATATTTTTTAAAGATTTATTTACTTATGCATACAAGAACTGGGGTACAGGCCAGAGGTCTGGGGGGTGAGAAGATTCACCAGTGACAAAGTGGGGAGCAGAACAGGTAGATTGACGGAAATACACTGCTGAGGGTAGCAGCAGGCAAGACAGGAGAGGTCTGCTGCACCATATGGGTAGCTCAATGGCCGGCCTGGAATTGAGCTTGTGCTAGAAAGGCTGTGGATAGCTTCACAGTGCTGCGCTTAACCCCTTGCACCACCAGGGAGGCCCTGTTGGGGTGATTTTGAGAATTTTCACTTATTAGGAATTTTTAATTCCTTTTCAGTCACATGCTAAAAAGTTCACAAATGCTTACTGGTCTTTTAATTTAGTCATTATTTTTAATTCATAGAAATTTGAAATTTCTACACAGATAAATCTGTGGGTCTTTTCCTCTTTAGATTAGAAATTTCTTACCCATCTCAATCTTATGTAATTCTATTTTTTTTAGTAGTTTTTGTCTCTGAAATGTTGAAATGCATGCCAAATAATATAGCTCTATGAGCACTATAGTGTGAGGTGGGGATTTTAACTTCATTTATCCTTAAATAAATGGGCAATTTTTAGGGAAGTTGAAGAAAGACAAGGGGAAAATATGTTTGGAAAAATGACAAAACATATTCATTCATCTAGACAATTGGTTAACACAAATTTCTTAAATGTTTATCATGTGACATGTACTGCAGAGGTCAATACTGGCCACTAAAACTTTCTGGATGATGGACTTGTTATTTATATGTTTGTGCTGTTAAATAAAACAGCATTTAAATTGCATTAAATTCAATTTAGTAGCAATTGAGATAAGGTTAGTATGATCAGATAACTGAATTTAAAATTTAATATTAAATTAAAAGTACTACTGATGACTTTTGGTTGCCATATAGAATAGTGCAGTGATAATTGATGGTGAAACAGCACAGAAGTGTGTGTGTGTGTGTGTGTATGTGTGTACACATGAGGGTACTGAGAAAGAGTATGTTTGTACAAGTACAAAAGCCATAACCAAATGCTTTTTGTTGGGAATTGTCAAATTTTAGAAAAAAGTGCAATTTTGTTTCTTGTTGTGATTTAAGGATAGGAAAAAGATGTTTAGACAAAAAATAGAATTTTTGGCCTTGCATTTTTTGGCCTCACATTTTTGGCCTTGAGATTCCTGATTTCCCAAATGGGAAAGAATGAGTATGCTAGTTACTAGTACTTCCTTTTCAAGCTTTAAACTGCTCAATTCCGTAGACCTCACTGCTTTTCTGCATACCTCACTTCTCTTCTTCAGAAGGTTATAGCAAGCCTTCAGAACCCCCAAATCTGAGTCTATATTGGTTTCTCCCTTCTGGGGAAAAATGATGGTTTCTATTTAAGA